ACAGGGTCGAGCCTGAGCGGCGTCCACGGTGGCAATGCGCATGAAAGCACGGTGAATGGGTTTTGTGAACATCCTGATCTTCTCGATGAAGGTGCTGATTCTGACGGAGATCTGAAAAGCCAGCATCATCCACGCATCGTGAGACCTGTTACTGGGCACGCAGGAAGATTTTACGGAGAATCCGCGTACATGTCAGGATCAGGTCAGCGGCGGCGAAAACGCGACCAGGGGGGCGCGCGGCCAAGAAGCGAAGTGAAGCCAGAGGAGCGAGAGACGAGAGGTGACATCTTTGCCTCCGGGCCGATAGCGAGCCACGCAGAGGGCACTGCGCAGGCGGCGCCGCTCGAAAGTGGCTGGAGGGCCCCCGCCGACGCGACCTGGTCACCCCGAGGGAATCCCATCGACGCGCGGGGGTCGTCCACTGCGACTCAAAGTGCGCGGATAGCTCCCCAGCGCCGCGCGGCAAGGCGACGCGAGAAGGGCGCGATCTGGGTGAAATCCCCCCGACAGGCGCCGGTCATTCTCCCGCGTGCAATTCCGACGGCGGGCTGGGGTCATCCAAGCGTCTGCGACGGCCTGCGCGCGCCGCTGGCTCGCGCGCGGCCAGCCGTGGCGGCGGCCCCTCAGATCAGGCCTCGCGGATGAACTCGCTGAAGCCGAGCTCCCTGGCGAGGGCCGTCGGCTCCCTCCTGCGCCGCTTCGCGCGCGCAGCAAACTGCTCCAGCTGGCCCGCCGGCGGCCCTGCCAGGAAAAACTCAACGCGCGGCGCCCGCATCAGCAGGAGGTCCTCGTGGCGCGTGGCGCGCGACAGCAGCGCGTAGAACTCCAGCCACCAATCGTCGTCGCCCTTCTTGCCGGTCCCGACCTCGTGGCGGCCGCAGTCCAAGATCAAGCCTCGGCGGCGTCGGCCGGGGGGGCAGTGCGCCCGACAGCCGACGGCCCAGGACGAGAGTTCACGGGATACGCGAGGCGCGCAGAAATCCCACTGTTGCCGCGCTATCCTGTGGCGTTGGGACCTCCTGTTACATCAGCAGAACTCCGCGTTTCACACCTCGTACTTGTGTTCTCTCCCGCGCCGCCTCCTCCTCTTTGGTATCGCGGTCACAATCACCCCTATCATCGCCGTCGTGACCCCAAGCGTCAACATCACCACCATCGCCGTATCATCATCGTCATCATCGTCATCACCATCATCCCCATCGCCTTGTCGCCACACCCCTCACACGCTTCGTGGCCGCGCAGGAAGGCGCACTGAAGGCCCCAGCGGGAGGGCCCACGCGCGGTTCCGATTCCCTTTCGGCACGCCACTCGCGCGCGTCGCGGCCCCATGCGGGGCTCCACAGGAGGCCCTGATGGGAAGGCTCGCGCGCCGTTCCCGGGCCATGTCGCCACACCCCTCGCGCGCCTCGCGACCCCGCAGGGTGCTCGCGGCCCCAATGTTGAGCAGATGGAATGGAGGAGGGGGGGAGGTGGGGAGCCCTGGCCCTGTCGGCCAAGACAGGCTGCGTGGCAGACGCGACGAGCAGTCCGCGTGAGGCTGCTCATGAATCACTTGTGGAACTGCCGTCGAAACTGCTGGAGGAATCGCCGGAGGTGTCGCTGTCTGGCCGCTCCTCACGGCAGGGGGCTCCCCGAGCACCGCTCCCGCCGGCGCCCCCGGACTTCGCAACGCCCTTGGCGGAGCCTCTCGCTCGGGCAGAGGACTTGGCGGCCAGGCCAACGGCACTCCCGGCAGCACCTCCCGGCTTGGCAACCCCCTGGGCGACGCCGCTCGGGGCAGCGCCGCCAAGCTTGGACACGCCCTGGGCGGAAGCCATTGCTCGGACTGGAGCCTTGGCGGCCAGGCGAGCGGAACTCCCGGCAGCGCCCCCCGGCTCGGCGGCCCCCTGGGCGACGCCGCTCTCGGCAGCGCCTCCAGGCTTCGCAGCGCTCTCGGCTTTCGGTCGTGCTCGGGCAGGAGCCCTGGCGGCCGCGCGGCCCCGCGCCCCGCCCATCTTTTTCCTCTCTGTCTCGGGGGCTTACTCCGACAAGCGAACCTCGTCGGGGTCCAAGCGCGCAGAATTCGCCAACATCTCCGCCGCTCGAACGCGGGCCCTGGCTTTGTCAAGTTTTCTCCTCTCCTTCTCCCGTCGGCGAAGCTCCGCGGCGCCCACCTTGGCGCCCCCTGCCGGGGTCCCCACCCAATCCTTGATACCGGCGACGTTCTCCACGCTGTACTTGTGCGGGCAGTGGCCCGTCTTGCAAGAATAAAAGCAAGTCGGGGTGATTGCGCCATCTGATTCCATGCAAACGCAGTGGCGGCCCCAACGTTCCCGAAGGGCTTCCAAGGAAACTCTGCCGGGGGCCTCCTCCGTCGCGTCCTCTGTCTCGACGAGCACCCCGCTGGGCACCCACAATTCCCGCAACCGGTCCTCGTGGAGTTCCCTTAACTCGCTCACAAGCGAGTTCGCGACGTCGACATCCACGGCCGCCTGCGCCCCCGTGCGCATGACCCAGCACGTCTTCCGACCACGGACGACTTTGCAGATGGCGCCTGGTCTGTGTCCTTCGTCTTCGGGCACTCGTCCACAATCCTTGGCATGGAAGGCAAGACGACGTTCTCTGTGCGGCCCGGGAACTTCTTAGCCAAGCCGTCCTCCATCATCCAGCGATCTGGGTGCGTCGGCCGCACTCCAATGCGGCCGACGGGCGCCAGGAGACTAAAAAAAAAAAAAAAAAAAAAAATAAAAAAAAAAAAAAAAAAAAAAAAAAATATAAAAAAAAAAAAAAAAAAAAAAAAAAAAAAAAATAAAAAAAAAAAAAAAAAAAAACTAAAAAAAAAAAAAAAAAAAAATTTTAAAAAAAAAAAAAAAAAAAAAAAAAAAAAAAAAAAAAAAAAGAAAGAAAAAAAAAAAAAAAAATAAAACAAAAAAAAACAAAAACAAAAAAACAAAAAAAAAAAAAAAAAAAAAAAAAAACAAAAAAAAACAAAAAAAAAAAAAAAGAAAAAAAAAATAAAAAAAAAAAAAAAAAAAAAAAAAAAAGAAAAAAAAATAAAAAAAAAAAAAAAAATAAAAAGAAAAAAAAAAAAAAAAAAAAAAAAAAAAAAAAAGAAAAAAAAAAAAAAAAAAAAAAAAAAAAAGCGATTTTTCCTCTTCCAACGGCGCCACGCACTGAGCCCTCCGCGAGCTCGCCGACAGCCCTGACCAGGTCAACCATGTGTCCGTCCCGCCGAACGTGGTTGACGCCTCGCTTGAGCGCGCTGTGGCCAGACTCCGGGGGTTGCTGTAAAGGGGGGTGCCCCTGCGCGTGCGGGGCTGAGGGCCCGTAGTGCCACGAGGCTGCAATGAGCGCCTGGCGGCCGCACCTCTGCCTCCACCGCTCAGTCGGCAGGGCGTGGCTTCGCAAGTACACACGTTTGAAATAACTCACCCAGCGGGGCGCCATCCAGACGAGCACAATGCGTTTCTCCTGCTCCCGCCACAGCAAACTAAACTGAGCTCGAGTTGGAAGCGCACTGCTTTCGTGCACGTAAACGCACGCCGCATTGATGTCTCTGCGATCCAGGCGCGGTCGCCGGCGCCAGCGGCGAGCAGTCTGGTTCTTGCGGAGGTTCTTGCAGAGGTGCCCGATCCCATGGGAGACTTCGCCCCCCTGCGCGCACTTCCCCCCCCCCAGGAAAACCTGCTCGAGCCCAGAAAAATGGTCGAGGCCGAGCTGCCGCAAGCGCGGGAGACGCCGCCGATGGAGCTCCGACCGAACGGCCTGGATGGTTTTCTTGCATACGGAAGCGCCCTCCCGTGGGCGAACGCAAATGCATACCGGCAACGGAGTATTTCTCCAACCCCCCTTGATGCAGCGATACAAGTGCAGGTATAGGGCGCCCACAACGTAACCTTGCCACTGCACCTTCCACGTGCAGTCCGCCGAGCCAGCCAAGCCATTCTCGCCGTCGAACGCGCCGGCGGCGGAGCGCTGGAGCTCCACGAAGAACGGGTTCAGCAAGAAAGAGAAAGACGTCATCACGTTGCCAACTTCGTAAGAAGTAAAAGCGACAGAACCTGTCGGGGTTGGAGCGCCTGTCAATGAACTCCGCGGGCGCGGCGGCCTGGTCGCCCCCCTGCGTCGGCGACGCCCCCTTTTCAGCATCGGCTGGCGGGGCATCGGCTGGCGGCGGCGCCGCGCCTCCATATGCACGTCCTGAGGGGGTGCCCAGCCGCTCCGCCCGGCGCAGAGATCTCGCCACGCGGCCAGGACCGCCCGCTTCGACTCCGCCGTCAGCGGCCCGTATATGGTCTTCTTCCTGGGCACCTTGGGCCCCTGCCTGGCGCGCGTGCTCGCCCGCAAAGGGGGGGCGGGCCCTCGGCGCGCCCCCCTGCTGCGCACCGACAAGAAGTACTCGCCGCCGCTCCCCCAGCGCCCGCGGAACTGGTAGCCGCGGCCCTTCCCCTGCGAGCACGCCTGCGGCTCGGCCGAAAAGCAGCGACTACCCCGCGGGGGGGGCCTGGGCCGAGGCGGGGGCCCGCGCAGGCGGGCCCGCCCCTGTCCGAGAATCTGGAAAAAAACCTCGCGCGGGAGGACGCCGCTGGAATCCGAGACTTTCCGCTGCGAGACCGTTGCTGCCTTGCGGCCGACCCCCTCCCCGCCCTGCGCGCCTGGCAACGCCGGCAGCGCCCGTGCCCTGCGCATCCCCTGAAGCGCAGGCGCCCGACCTTGACGTCTTCGCGACTCCTGGTCCAACGGGGCGCAGCTGCGCGCAAAGTCGCTTCGGGACAATCGAGAACAGCGCCAACAAAGTCCCCCGCGGGGAACTCCATGACATCAAATGGGGCCGCATCGGCCGCCGGCGCGGAGGAGATTACAACGCGATCCGAATCCGAACTCCCCACTAGTAGCCCCGCGACGTCGTCTCGCGCAGGGGGCGCCCGAGCAGACTCGGACGCAGACTCGGCGCTGCTGTCAACCTGGGTCGCGGGATCGCCGTCGTACACCACTGCGTCGTAGTGGGGCGGGAACGTGGCGCGGGTGGCGGCCCCCGTCGCGTCCGGCCAGCCAACGAAGGACTCGTCCCACGGCGAGAAGATGTGGAAGCGGACGTCGTATCTGCGAGCAGCGGCCAGGAGCTCCTCGCGCTCTGCGAATCCCTCCTCGGGGCTCGGCGGCGCGCGCATTCGGGCGATTCGCCCTTGCATCGGGTCGAGACAGCCTGTCTCCGACGCGATTGCGTCCCACTCCAGCTCCAATCGTGACACCACCTCAGCCCGGGCCTCCGCGGCAGTCGCCGCGAGCCCGTTGTGCGCAAGGAGGTGGAAGAAACAATCGCCATCCGGCGGCGGCGGATGCCTTCGAAGCCCGGCCGCCGTCAGCCTCTCATCGAGCGCCGTCGCGTAATGGCGCCTGTCTATCCAACCTGGACGCCTTGCGCCCAACTGCCCCCTGCCGGGCAAGAAATATCTTCTTCCGTGCCCGCGGCGCTCGGAGACGTGCCTTCTCCTGAGACCCGATGACTTTACCTGCTGTCAGGTCATGCCCAAGGTTCCGCATCCACGGGCGAAGCTGCAGCCTCAGCGCGGCGGCCCGCCTGACGAAGTAATGCCGTCCACCTCGGGTAGCCGCGATGATACCTGACTTCTTGGGCTGCGCAATGAGGCCGAGCTCTGCAGCGTCATGGGTGAACGCACGGGCCGCCCGCTCCAGCCATCAAACATCTGACCGGTCACTGGTGACTAGCTGAATGGATGCATCATCCACGTAGGCTCTGGGCGTGATGCACGGTGTCACTTGCGAGAGACGCTTGAGCGCCCTGAAAGTGAGCAAGTAGAGAATTCCTGTCGCGCGCGAGCAGCCAACGATAACGCCCCGGAATGTCGTGAAAAGGTCCGTCACGCTGCCGAAAGCACGTAGCCTACGCGGAATCGCGTAAAGCTGGACCAGCATCCAGGCTAGCTTCAAGGGGAAAGTTAGCTCCTTGGCCTCCCTCAGAATTTGGGAGGGCAAAATCATCCCGATACATTTTGTCATGGCGAGCAACACAGAAATTGACATATCTCCAACTAGAGTGGCAGCCTCGGAGCTGAGGTTGTGCGCGAAAGCACTATCGGAACTGCTGCAGCCTCGACGAGTGCCCCAGATCTCGAGGCAGCCGTGCGCTGCCTGCCAATCTGAAGTGATGGATTGACGGATCTTGCCCCAGATCCTGCAAAACGTGTTAATTAGCGCGATAAGTATCGTACCTCCTTCTGGTTTGGCCAGCCTCGCCAACGCAATCCAAATCCTCGCTAGGCCCCACGAGAAGGTCTTCGCATTTGTTAGACACATGGCGAGGGCCGCACAGGCCCCATCAGAAATATCTAACAGCGCCCTCGGTGCTATCTTGGTAGGGCCAGCAGAGGTCGTGGCACGGTACCTCTTGGCGACCTCCCGAATTCGGCAGGGCTGGATGGGCGGCAAACTAGGCCAACTCTGGGCCTCCTCGGGAAATGACTGAGCGGAGCAGCCGTGGGTCAACCAGACCTTCTTCCAAGGCTCCAGCTCAGCAATCACCAGCGCGTGGGGCTGGGTGCCAGAACCGGCACTTAAAATCTCCTGGACGGCCCGAGCCAGCGAAAAAACGATGGGCCAATGAGGCCCCCTGCGCAATGCTCTCACGAGCCCAGTCCAACGAAGCTTTCCCAGCGGCATTTCCAGTCCCATGGGTGCTGCCCTCGGCGGCAGCATAAACATGCTTAAGCATGCAATGGGAGTCAGGACGCACAAGCACCAACAATCCCTGGCAGAAGAATTCGGCCACTGGCTGTTCCAGCTGCTCGGGAACCTATTACTTGTCGCAACCGAGGCCGGGACATTAGCGAGCTCTCGAAACGCCTGAATGAGCTTGATGTATGGCGACGGGAACAAGTCACACATTGCAGCGCTCATCCCAAGGTGCTGAATTTCTTCGGACAAACTTGCAGGCCTTCCCTAGATGCGGGGCCCATGTGAGGGCTGTGGCCCACGCATTCGTGGTGCCGTTACGATAGGGGCGCCGCCTACGAGGAGCCCGGGTGAGTTGCTTCCACTTAGTGGTGGGGGCCTCAGACAGTCTTATGTGGGCCTCCGCCGTGGGCCCCACGTGGCCCCAAATATACTGACACTCAAAGTGAATGCCCTCAGAGACGAGGCCCCAAAAGCCTACCAAGCTGTGCCTATCGCTCACTCGCGGACCTGCAACCTCAATCACGGCTCGCCACGGGCACGCTGGAGGCCGAGCACGCCCCATGGGAGGCATTGCAGGGCTGCTTTCTTCTCGCGCGGCCCCTTCGCCCACGTCGCGACTGGCTTGGCAAGGGAAGGCAAGAGTACAGGGAGATGTGGGAAGGTTGCCGCAGTCTCGCCCACGCTGACCTCCCTGCCAAGGAACTGGGAGAGCGAGGCGCTGGCGACAAACGTATCGTTACATGTGCCTGGCAGGGTCTGTCTGCACGTAGCGGTAGTAGGTGCGTAGGTCACAGCA